AGTATTAGTACCTCCGCACAAGATCAGCCAAGTGAGATTTTAAACACTTCTGCTCTTTCCTGACCTTTTTCAGGTCATATTTTACAAGCTTGAGTTCTTCCCTGACCTGTTTAACATTGACAATCAGTGAGAATGTGAATACTCTCAAGATGATCTATCACACTGGGAAATCCACTTTATTTAAGTTGCATTCTTATTTCTAAATCTTTTTCCCCTCCTCCCTCAAGCAATTTGTCAGGTGCAACATTTCATCAATTTCCCAGTTGACGTACAACATATCTAAACAAAAGTTTGCTTCATTGGAATGTCTCACAATCAGCATTATTTTAGAACTGACATGAAGACGACATGACCGGCCTAAAAAATGTGCCACAAAGTGTGGCATCACTCCTATTAAGAAAAATGAACCGTTGGGTACGAGGGTAGTTCTAATGTCCTGCATCTGATCAAAAACAGACCAGCAGATGAAAATGCAATGGAACATTTGATCCCTCACCACTGAAATCAGCAAATGACACGGAAATGGCACTGGCAAATAGTTTGCATGACGGAAACAAATGCAATTTCTACTCATCTTACCACTCTCTGGATTTCCTCTTCGGTCAAGCAACTCTTGGGCACGTCATCACTTTCGAGTCTGCTTGACGTCTCAATCAGTCTTTTAGGAACCATGTTTGCACGAAACAGTAGCCAAATGGATGAAAATACATCATACTCCTATACTATTCCAGAAGATGGATCTATATCCATGCATAACACAACAAACCATGACTCTGCATATCTACTTTCGACACTGATGTGACCTCTTCGGACAAAATTTTCCGACAAGATTAGGCAAGAGAGAAACATTCCGAAGAAGAGTCGCTGAGAGGAATGCCTGATGCGAAGCGCCAACTGGTGTGCGAAGAGCCGACAAAGTTTGAATCGTAGAAGAACCTTGTTTTATTCAACCTTCTTCCAAAAGAAAAGAAAGAATTCGGAGGTACTACCATCGGCAGACATCAAAATCCAAAACATATGTCGTGCGATTCTGTAAAGGCTTAAGCTTTTGGTTCAATGCGGAATTGGGTTCCTCATGGAATTGGGATTCAATTCCTACATTTTTCCCGTTTGAAGAGAAATCGAAAGGTGAATTTGGATTTCACATGGGTTAATCCTCAAAGATTGTCGAATTGGATTACCTAGCAACAGTTAGTATTGAAATTCCAATTCCATGTGAAAAGGAAAGAATGACATTACTTGGAATACAAATCTACTCCTAGCTGGTATAGATAAATAAAGGTGGGCATCTTGAACTGAACGGGAGCTAGATCAGCAATGCCGTGATAAAAAAAAAAACAAAAAAAAAACATCAAAAGCTCCAAGGAAGAACCAAAGACACCAAAGGATTCATACAACCCATGGAAATGCAAATCCCAGCAGCAAAAACAGTGGGAAAATGAAGAGATTACTCATCAGATGGATCCAAAGGCTTCCTCTTAGAACGGCCTGTCTTGCAGGATCTTGGAGCACACGAGGAAGGCTTAAGATTCACTCCCATGCTTGTTTTTTCTCATTCACTCGATCAGCAGTTTAATATATGAAAGAAGAAGGAGAACAAATATGAGATCGGAGTATATGGAAGAAGTAGTGGGGTGGTTCACTTTAAGATGTGCCTTGGCCAAAAATTATCGGAGTATACATAGTTGTTCGGTTCTTGAAGGGGGAGAGGTGCGAAGCGAGAGGCATGTAACTTTCTGGGAAACTTTAGGTTACATTAGCCGCAAACATTGAATTTGTTTCTTTTCTTTTCTCCGATTTCGGCCTTTTGCCTAATAAATGAGCTATTTTTAGCCTTCAACGCAAGTTTAAGCCAAATCCTTTGAGTTGGATCCCCGATCGACGGTACCTGACATGCTCGAATATCAATTATCATCGATATCCAGATCTAGAGAGAGAAAGTTTAGAGAGAGAAATTCTGAAGAATGCTTTCTATTGCTCAATTGTTTGATGGATACAAATGAGGAGAGAGCACCCCTATTTATACAAAGACTCGACTCACTACATCCATTGATGGCCTTTTGATCTAGTGGTAGAGATCGTATCTCCCCATCTACCAACTACCGACATTTAATGCAGGAATTCTCTAGAACATGGCACATTTACCGTATTGCTCGTCCCTCTGAACATTTCAGAAGTTCTAGAAGATTTGGACCAGTCTTCGTCGATCGTGTACACGGTCCTTGGTGTATGGAAACCCAAACCGTGACACATGACCAAAAGTCGTAACAACTAACGATAGTTATCTATTGATCGATCTCAAGAATATTTAAGGCGAATTAATATGGCTCTCCATCAAATTAATGATGTCGAAAATCGCTTCATTTGATACTTATAAGGTTTTTCTTCATATGTTTAGGATGCCATATGTATTGTACTTGGGTAAAAGTATTTCGATTATGAAAACTCACTAGGTTTCAATAGAGAGAGAGAGAGAGAGAGAGAGAGAGAGGAATTACTGAAATTACTCCTCGAGTATGAGCTGCGACGATGTTGTCTTTTAGATTGGGTTAATACCACGAAAAACTCCAAACTGGTACATCTATGACAAATTTACCTCAAACTAATTTTTTGTCCACCAAAAATTCCAAACTGGTACATTTGTGATAAGTTTACCTTCCGTTAAATTGGATTAATACCACGAAAAATCACAAATTGGTAAACCCGTGACAAACGAAAGTGTAAAACCCCAAACTAGTACACCTGTCAACTTTCATGTGTCATCCAACTCAGTAATTTGACAGTAAAATTTAACGGAAACTAATCAAGGGTAAAATTATCATAGGTATACTAGAGTTTTCGGTAGTAAAAAACTTAGTTTGAGGTAAATTTGTTACAGGTATACCAGTTTAGAATTTTTCGTGATATTAACCTTATTAGATTTACTTGAAATGAATAGTTTATGTGAAGTGGTGGTTGTGGATCATAAGAAGGTTCTGGAAAATGTTGCTTGCATGCATGTTTCATTGTAGTTGGAGGATTTATGTTTGGCCACTATTGTCTAAGAGGCTCAAACGCGCGTGGGTATTACTGTCAATATGCTACCTCGCGAAATTAGCAACTTTATCTCATGTTCTTTTGATACTAGTAATGATTGCACGTGAATGGAAGTAGTTGGAAAATTTTTATATCGCGCGTAAGTTGACTACCCTCCAATTCTAATCGCGGTCAACCTCATTCTGATTTGAATTGTGGCCTAAACTTTCAAGCACGCCGCCGAAGTAGCCGGCCATCGCGTCGAAAAGGAACCATCAATACTACTCACCCTATAAAAGTTTAATTAAATCGTTCTAATTAAGCGTTGTGAAATGAAAATCCGGTAAAATGTCTAAGCTACCAATCATCTTGCATGTCGAAGTCGCCTATCTTAATTTTGTCTCACTAAATCAAATTTGTCCAGATTAGAAGTGTTACGTTATGTGTGGTTGCTTAAATCCCCACTATCTATCTCGCCGAATTAATTCTTGCATTCGACGATTTTATCGATCTGTCTGACGTCTGACGTCGTGCTGTGCGGCCATTGATTACGGAGCATATGTTAAGTGATGGCATGTTCTCATTAATAAGAAAAGGAAAATTAAAATTAAAACAAAAGAGAAAATGCTATTTAACCAACCATGGAAGACAAGCTAAATGGGTCACCGTGCTTCTAGTTGAATAGAATTACGGATGAAAGATAGACCAAACATATTGGCCCGCATCATATCTTTATTATAGCTCGATTTTTATTAATTTCCCCAAATTTACTAAACATTTCGCTATTAACGATTTTACCACTCAATGTTGGCCTTTTTGCATGCTACAAGCCCTGTACCGTGCCCAACTCTTTTTAAGTCATTCTTCTACATATTTTTTTGGAAATCCATATATCAAATTCTAGGTTACATTTATTCGCCCGTACACAATCTTAATATTTCATTACATTTTTTTCGTGAATATCTTGATTTTTTTGGCATTATCGATTAATCAATTAAATTGTTATTGCTTGATACATTGTTACCGAAACTCGGGGATTGAATTTAAACTCAAACGTGCTAAAAATCTCGCTCCCCATAAGCCAAATTTCCGGCTCGTCCCCCGACTGTACAATCAGATAAATTTAAATCTGATTATGGGCAAAGCATGGTAACAGCATAAATCTAAGTCTACAATGTTTTTATTATTAGTTACGACTCTACGTCGTTAAGTTGAACTATACAGTAGGTGCCCCGTAGAAGTGGGGCAGAGAGAGAGACTAATGGGGCATTACTGACTATTCGATCCTGAATATTCTCAAAATAGTACTCATTTTGGCTAGTTTGCAAAACTTTTGACAGGCAAATCTCTGGGATTTCATGACCAAATATTAGACGCCATATAACCGTCATTGAAATTGTTTTTTAAGCAGTAGTAAATCTGAGTATGTAGGGGGATATTAATCATAATTGAACAGCTCCCTTCACAAATTTTCCTCAAGCCTAATGGCTTTAAGAGTCTCCCTCGAAACCAATACCAAGGGTAAGAAAGTTGGCACTTGGTAATGACAGAGGAGAGAATGTTTGCTACATAGTTCTACAGTAATTACTTGTGTCTATAATCTATATCATGCAAGAGCTTAATATTTGTATTAGAGAGGTTGATTTCTTTGTTAGCAAGAGGAAAATTCCAAATTCAGCTCAATATATCCTCTAAAAGAAGCCATACCTATATATCTCATCGATTACCTAAATTTGATTTCTTGCCGATTGTTTCTTGGTAATTTATGACTGGATAAAATAAGTGAAATTTTTTAGTTTTCTTACATACACTGGATCGCTTCCCTTCGACAGATGCATGGAAATGGTCCTGTTTACAAGAACAGTAACCTAGTAAAATCCAATTATCGCCAGAAATTTGATCCACAAATTTAATCCCTTTCTTAACCCATGGCATGGTAGAACTAGAATGATAAACAGATATAGAACCCATTGTATCCGGACGTGTGCGTTAGAATTTAGAATACCAAAAAGCATATCGTTCATTATTCGATTTAGGAACTCACAACAAACATGACTCAAATCACATTATTGATGCAAGTAGAAAGTCTCCGCAGCCAATGGCATGAACGTCAAATCCGAAGAGGTTGTTCGGGAGCAAGTAGTGCTTGATCAGTAGCCACAAGATTCAATCCCTCAACAACTGTTCCAAATCAATCACGCCATCTTCAATATCTGAAGAGCCATATAGATAATATCAGAATGTGTCCACACTTCAAACACCACGATTGCTAATTTCTCTGGAACCATAAATGAATATTCGTCAAATCTCACGCTACTAATGAAGCCATCGCTATGTCCACTACAGGTTTTCTGAGAAGTTAGTGTGCATAATTTGCCACAATAATTACACTTCGATCAGTCCTTATCATCAGATAAGCCATATTAATGAGATAATGCAACGGTTACAGAGAGATAATCAAAAGTAATAGCATAGAAAGCACCTACAAAACTCTCTTTGTATGCAATTAAAACAGTTGGTAAGTTGACGAGACCCAATCAAACCCCTGATAGGAGCTATCAGTGTGACAAAATTGAGTCAAGTATCATACTTGCGATGCCAAATGAGTTAGCGTTTCCTTTTAAAGGAAGGAAAAGAAGCTTTGAATTTTTAGATTTTCCTTGTTCTTCTATTGATGTACAGAATACGTTTAAATAGATACATAGTTACATGATGAGGGCAAAATTGATTCCTTAAATCAAGAAAAGTATCCTCAAATTGAGGAAAGAATTTTAAATTCAAATCAAGGAAATTATCCTAAAAGATTTTAGGATGATATGTTATCATCCCCCCTTGAGCTAAGCACAATTGGCTGAAGGTGAAGCTTGCTCTGCAAAAATCTGATGCGATTAGAACTTAGACCTTTTGTGAACAAATCTGCAATTTGATCTTTGCTGGAGATGAACTGAACAGTGAGAATCTTACGCCTAACTAGTTCCTTGACATAATGAAAATCGATAGCGACATGTTTCGTTCTTGAATGGAAAATTGGATTGTAGGCGAGAGAGATTGCGGAAATGTTATCACACCAGATAGTGGGTGGCATAAGGAGTGGGCAATGCAATTCACGTAACAAGGAACATAGCCAAATTAATTCAGCTGCAGTGTGAGCTAGACACCAGTACTCAGCTTCAGATGGAGAACATGCCACCGTGGCCTGATTCTTTGCACTTTAGGAAATGGGGTTAGAACCGAAGAAAACACAAAACCCACCAGTAGAGCGTCGATCAATGGGGCAACATGCCCAGTCGGCGTCGCAATAAGCAGTGAGCTGGTGTTGGCCTGGACGAAATTGAATATTGTGAGTGATTGTGCCTTTCAAATAACGCAAAATTCATTTGACCGCCATAAGATGATCCTCGGTCGGAGACTTTAGGAATTGTCAAACTTGATTGACGGCAAAGGAAATGTCAGGACGCGTCAAAGTAACATACTGCAATGCTCCAACAAGACTCCGATAAAGAGTGGGATCCGATAATGGAGGGCCATCACCGTGGCCAAGTTTTTGAGACACAGTAGGCGTGGGGACTGGTTTACATCCGTCCATATTTGCATGCCTTAGAACATCCACAATATACTTCGACTAATTAAGTTATAGTCCTTCCGAATCACGTGTTATTTGAACACCAAGAAAATGAGAAAGAGGTTCGAGATCCTTCATACGGAAATGATGGCCAAGATGCGAGATCAATTGCTGCAACGCTGAAGTATCATTGCCAGTGAGTATGTGATCATCAATGTACAAGAGGAGATATACGGTTATATGTCCTTGGTGGAAGATGAATAATGATGGATCAGAGTTGGAGACGGTGAATCCAAAATCATGAAGTTTTGAATTAAACTTTTCATACCATGCTCGAGGGGCTTGACGGAGGCCATAAATGGATTTCTTCATGTGACAGACATTATTAGGTTTGCCCAGATCAACATAGCCCAGAGGCTGGGACATGAACACTATTTCCTGCAAATCACCATGTAAAAATGCACATTCGACATCCAATTGTCGAAGTGGCCAATTGTGAGAGACAGCAAGAGATAAAATAATTCGAATGGTAGTAGGTTTCACCACAGGACTGAAGGCCTCGATAAAGTCAACACCCGGTTGTTGATGGAAACCTTTAGCAACAAGGTGAGTCTTGTAGCGACTAATATAGCCATCCGGATTTCGTTTAGCTCAAAACACCCATTTGCAGCCCACTACGTTCATAGTAGGATCATAAGGGACCAAACACCATGTTTGTTACTGTTGAAGAGAGGTAAATTCTTGATCCATGGCATGACACCATTGAGGTTCCTTAACCACTTGGGAGTAACATGTTGGTTCGGAGATATGGTTGGCAGTAAGTGCAATCGAAGTGGGTGAAGGGTATGGGAAAAGGCCTTTTGTTTGGTAAAACCAGACGTAGATCTTGTTTGCATTGGGTGAGTGGAAGAAGAAGGGACAAGTTGATTATCAATAGGTGGAGGAAGGGGGGCTAGAGGTCTGCACGATAGGTTCGGTAGTTGATGAAGAAGGCACCGGTGAGATGTTGTTGGATGTGAGAACGACCTGTGAAGTGGTGGAGGGATCACAATGAGCATGCTCGGATTGAATGACTCCAAAAAAATCGAGACTATGAGGTAAAAGATGTGAAGAATGAGTGAGAGTGAGGAAACTTAGTTTCATCAAAGACCACATGACGAGAAATATATACTCGACCAGATGAGAGATCCATACAACGATAGTCTTTATGACTGGGGCTATAGCCTATAAAACAACAGGGGGTTGATCGAAGTTCCAATTTGTTAGCCTTGTAAGGTCAAAGCCATGAGAAGCAAAGAGAACCAAAGGTTCGTAAGTGTGAATAATCAGGAGGGGTGTGAAATAAAGATTGATATGGACAAGTGTGATGTTGAAGTATGGGCACGCGGTTAATCAAATAAATGACTGTGGTGAAGGCTTCCAACCAAAATTTAGAAGGCATATGAGCATGGGCCATCATAGCTAAGCCAGTTTCGATGATGTGGCGGTGTTTGCGCTCCGCAACGCCATTTTGTTCTGGTGTGTGGGGGCAAGAATATTCATGTGTAATGCCCTTGCTTTTTAAAACTAACAAAGATGTCATAAAAGTCAGATTTTAATCTCATCGGAAATAACCATGAATATTTGGAAAACTCATCGACAAAGAGAACATAATAGGAATAATTAGAACAAGATAATGTGAGCAGGGCCCTATACATCACAATGTAATAATTCTAGAGGACGACTAGAGGTAGAATAAAATTTGGAAAAAGGAAGCTTGTGACTCTTCGCCTGCTGACATGAAGAGCAAATGTGAGATCCAGATTTATTGGAAATAGAAGCGATTGAGAAAATCTCATGTTGAATGTCATGAGAGGGATGGCCGAGACAAGCATGCCATTGGTCCGTGGTGATGGAGGAACTGTAATGAGCTTTTGGGGCGGTGGATGATGGTGGAGTGCGAAGTGGGTACAAGCTGTTCTCAACTGGCTCTTGACATAGTATCTTGATATAGTGTCGTCCCCGTGGCCTTGTCTTTAATACAAAAACCTGAGGCATCGAAGTTAAAGAGACAATTGTTATCTTTGGAAAATCGATAAATAGAGAGTAAATTGTGTGAAGCTGTGGGACAATGAAATATAGATTTGAGGTGAAGAGGTGATGAAGAGGATGAAAGGGTAGTGGAACCAACATGTGCAATGGGCATATCGTGGCTATTACCTATCTCAACAGTGTCATTACCATCATAAGCAGTTGAAATTTGGAGATTTTCGAGTTCCAGGGTGAGATGATGAGTGGCTCCGGTGTCGGTGTACTAAGTGTTGGGTGGGGTCGAGACAGTGACAGCCATTACTGCAAGTTTTTCCAATGGATGGTAGCCTTGATAGGTGTAGTCCATTCGGTGATAACAGACGATGGCAGTATGACCCATACGATTGCAGATCTGACATTGTGAACAAACTCCCAAATTTTGAGATTTTTGTTGACCTTGGGGTGATGGTCATTGTTGCACCGATCCAGAGGAGGTGGAGGACTGCTGGCATGGTGGAAATGTTCCACGAGATGGTGCATGGCCACGGCCCTGAGAGAATTGATGAGAGTTGTTGGGCCTGAAAGGTTTGGAAGCCACCAATGCAGTAGACTGTGCTGAAACCGCAAGCGGTGTATCTTCAGTCAAAGAGAGATCCTCACAGATTAACAGGGTATGAAGTCCTTCAATAGATAGGGTCGATGTCCTGGTGCGAACACAAACCGAGGAACAGAATTGTCGATATGATGGTGGCGGCTCATCGAGGATGTGAATAAGCAAATCATCCTTGCTTACAGGAGAGCCACAGGCTACCAGCTGGTCAGAAATGACCTTAAATTGCTCGAGATAATCAGCCATAGATTGAGTGCCCTTCTTGGGTCAAGTAAGCAACCGTTTGAGGGACATCACATGGGCAGGTACTGTAGAGGCATATCTATTATTGAGCAGGTCCCATGATTGCTTGGCAGAAATAAGTCCGACGATATATGGAAGAGCAAAGTTGCTTAATGTGGCATTGATCCAATTTAATAGCAGCTGGTCTTTTTCAAACCAAGTTGGATATGTGGGATCATCATATGAAAGTGGAGAAACAGAGCCATTAACATGATGCATCAGGCGATGACCACGCAAAATAGACGTGAACAAGGATTTCCAAAGGAGATAATTGGAGGCATTCCGTTTGATTGGGACAAGGCTAGAAATGTTTGAAATCACAATAGGTGGGGATTGAACTGGGGTACTAATAGCGCTAGTAGCTTCAAAATTGTTGGAGACAGCCATGAGGAAGAAGAAGCAGGATCACAAATAATGCTATTACGCAGAATACTCTGATACCATAAAGAAAGTAAAAGAAGTTTTGAATATTTAGATTTTCCTTGTTCTTCTATTGATGTACATAATACGTTTAAATAGATACATAGTTACACGATGAGGACAAAATTGATTCCTTAAATCAAGGAAAGTATTCTTAAATTGAGGAAAGAATTTTAAATTCAAATCGAGGAAATTATCCTAAAATATTTTAGGATGATATGTTATCACCTTTCAGCCAGCTTCAACTTTACTTGTTTAGTTCCCTAATGGGACTGATATCACAAAAATATCCATCTTTTAAACTCATTTAATGGGTTCCTAATGCTAATTGGACCGTTCCGGAGTTGTGGGGCGTGGAGTTTTCATTGGCACTAGAGGTGGCTCTTTGTCCATTTCTAGGCAGAAAAAAGAACGAAACTGCTTTCCTTAATGAGAAGAAATGACCTGACGCAGTTCCTACTCTTCATTACAAAAGCACGAATCTGTCCAATGAAAAAGGATCATGACCCTAAACCAAAGCCGCAGAAGTAATAACAGTCTACTTTTGTTCCAGCAAGTTATAGCCACGCCACATTCATCATCACGGCAAATACTAATTCTACATATTTTAAGTCCCAAAATTGTATTCCCCATTTTTCCACAAGACAGGATAAACAATACCATACGGCAAAGAAATCGACGTCACGGGGAGAAAATTCAACGTACTGAAAGCTGGGAAGCTGGATGGTGACCCGTCCAGTCGTCCAATTACTTCGGTGTCTGCTGAAGGCCCAATTTGGATCAAACTGTCAGTAGCTTGGTTCCACATGGCATTTTGGGAATAGAGACTTTCTGATAGTTCTGGTAATCGAGCAGCACTAGTACCACTGTTTCCTGGAGAGAGAGAGAGATTGATGAAGCCCATAATAGACATGGGGCAAGCCAGGAAAAGCAAGTCTCCTGGGTGTGGGATCAACATGGAGCCCATAAATTTCTAATGTTGTGATCTATACGGACAGTTCTACTATATAGATTTAGGTCCCAAAACCCATCTGAAGAACCAATATTTAGAACATTGCAATCACGTGCTTCATGAGAAATGAGAATAGACACCAATGCTCCTCCCCTGTAAAATATGTCAGCATATTCTTGTCTGACTCTGCGTTCCTTATGGAACAGTTGATTTTAATCCGCTCCAAAGCCATATCATTGGAAGCCTGCATATTTCTGTCCCAAAGGTGTATGGTACTTTGAAACGTTTTAGTTGCACGATGTCACTTTGATAATCTAAAACCGCAAAAGAAGTGGCTACAGTTAGGCTAGTGCTTAATTATGAGCAACTTTTTCTTTTCCTCGTAGCCAGTTAGAGCACATACCTTCCACTGTGGATGCTGAAATCCTAGGTGGTACTTTCAAACCAACTTGACTGGCCAATCTAGGCGGAGGCATATTGTCGTGAACTGGATGGGAGTATTGTTGATCTCCTAGAACTTCAGATAGAGAAGGTGAGATCTTCTCCGACATGGAACTTGAATAAGCCTCAGCATCGAACTGTCTAACATCACTCCCATTCTCACAGGCCCTCTTCACCAATCTATCTGCATAGACCTGGAAGACTTGCAAATTACTACTTCCTCTACCAGTCGTTATATCAGGCTTATCTTACGCCCAAGGTAACTCAAAGAATTCAGGCTGGACTTGTATGCATTTTAAAAGGCGCTCAGAAGATGTGTCTAGTATGTTCCCTATTTTTCTCAGACAGATCGAACAAGGTAGGAAGATCCAAAGTTCGCAGTCAAAATACTGACAAGGAAATCACGGACATCAAATTCTGTGAATTTGATGAAAGCAACAAAAAGTATCTCCACTTGAAAGTACCATAACATGGTGAATGGGTCAAAACTTAGAACTCTGTATGAGCATAGAGTGCTCCTAAGCTGCTAACTGCGCTCCTGATATTGCAGATGGTGGTTTTGGTCCCATGGAGAGTGCTTCTAGTGATGTCTTCTCAAAGGGTGAGAGCAAAAGAAGTGGGCAGCTTTTGTCATTGGTCTTGGTGCTGATGGGGGTTGATGAGGCAAGATCCTCTTTTTTATCAGTTCCATTGTTGAATCATTTTGAGGTAAATAGCGAGGAGCATGTATCCTTGGGTACTTAAGATTATTAAGGCTGTTGGCCAGGCCCTTGGAGTCTCCTTCCAAGGGTTCGAAGATACCTATGATTCTTTTCGAGGAGCTAGAGAAGCAAGGGCTAAGGGAAATGATGGCCCTGAGCATTTTAAGTCATTGAAAAATAATCGAGGAATTGAAATGCCTTCAGTGTTCCGCCAATAACGATAAAACTCCTGACAGGAACAAGGTTGTGAGTGGTAGCAGTGGAAAGGGCTCTTCTTGGTTTATATATAGGTCAAAATTATTTCTTGGAACCCACCCATCGGTGGCCGCGTTGGTTTGCGTTCAGTTCCTTTCACGAGAGGTCCTGGGTTCAAACTCGCCCATCGGTGATTTAAGTGGGGGGGTCGTGGCGGTGGGATGCTGCGCTAGCCCCCCTCGAGGACTAGTCGGGCATCACCGCTGGTTTGAGCCCTAGCTCGCCGGCCGCGCGGACACCTCAATTATAAAAAAAAAAAGAAAATTAGTTCTTGGAATGTCAGGGGGTTGAATGATGGTGACAAGTGATCGGTGACAAAATTTTTACCAAAGAATGGAGACAGGACATGGTGTCTTTAGGAGACTAAAATGGAAGATTGTCAATTGGATGTTGCCAGGAAAACTCTAATTCTGAGACTTGTGACCCTCATCCTCGTCCGGAGGATGTCCTTTAATTGCATTAGTGAAGACATGGCATCACTTTTGAACTACCTTTTGATGTCCTTTAATTGCATTAGTGAAGACATGGCATCACTTTTGAACTACCTTTTGTAACACCTCGGGTCTACACTGTGTAATATTGTCTGCTTTGGGCCCACTGGCTCTCACGGCTTTAAAACGCGTTACACAGATATAGAACCCCGAACCTTATAAGCATGTCCAGGACTCCCCCCCTAGGCAATGTGAGACAAGAAAGGCTCCCCCTTCCTTGTGCACGTCCGAGGACTGAGGCGCGGATGCACCGCCATCCCTTCTCCTCATGCTCTGCCGCTTGGCTTGGGTCGTTACACTCTCCACCCCTTACGGGCACAGCACCCTCATTGTGGGCCCACACGCGGTCAGGAGTCGGCTCTGATACCACCTGTAACACCCCGGGTTTACACTGTGTAATATTGTCCGCTTTGGGCCTATTGACCCTCACGGTTTTAAAATGCGTTACACAGATATAGAACCCCAAGCCTTATAAGCTAGCCCGGAACTTCCCCCCTAGGCGATGTGGGACAAGACAGGTATCCCACTTCCCTGCGCACGTCCGAGCTAGTGGCGCGGACGCACCGCCATCCCTCCTTTCCACGCTCCGCCGCTTGGCTTGGGCCGTTACACCTTTTGAAGAAGAAGAGATCAAGAAGGCTATTTTGAGTTATAATGGGGAAAAAGCACTGGTCCAGATGATTTTACTTTGGCTTTCTATAATGAGAATTGGGAAGTAGTGAAAGATTATTGGTTGACGGTTTTCCACAATTCACTCGAAGGGTGATTTTGTTCGAAGTCTTAATGCTACTTTTATCTCCTTAATCCCTAAGAAAAGTGGTGCGCAGAACATCAAAGATTTCTGTCCACTCAGTTTAGTGAGTAGCGTGCATAAAAGTTTGGCTACGGTTCTTGCAGCTAATTAAAACGGATTATTGGCATGGTGGTGGGACCTTATCAAAATGCTTTCGTTGAAGACATATCTTAGATGCAACTCTGATTGCAAACGGGGTGATGGACTCCCACTTAAAAGCGAAAAGGAAAGGTATTATTCGCAAAATCAATATGAGGAATGCTTACAATCATGTTTCGTGGGACTGTCTTTTATTTGTGATAAAAAAATGGGTTATCGCGTGCAATGGTGTAATTTAATAAAGAGATGTATCATGACTCCACATTATTCTGGTTTGGTTAATGGATAACCGGTTTTTTCCAATCGTTTCAAGGGCTTGGGCAGGGTAATCCTCTCTCCTCCCTTCTGTTCGTTCTGGTAATATAGGTCCTCAGTAAAATGTTTAAGTAAGGCGTCTGAGTTGGGTTGGACTTCTGGCTCATATGGCTAGTCTTGGAAAGGAGTTTACTATTTCTCATCTTCTCTTTGCGGATGATACTATCATTTTCTGCTGAGATAATGTTCAACAGTTACTTTTCCAGAGAAGCATCCTTTTATGTTTTGAAGCCGTATCGGGGATTAAGATAAACTAGAGCAAAAGTGAGCTTATCCCACTAGGTGATGGTGTGAATGTTGGCTTGCTTTCTTCTGTTTTGGAATGTCGTATAGGTTCTTTACCCTTAAACTTTTAACCCCCAAAACAATCTTATTCTGAATAGCCTCCAGCCTTTTGGCAACCAAACAAGGGATAGGAAAGAGAGACGTGAAATAGATAGGAAGATTGGAGAGAGTGCTTTCCATCTGGTTAAATGGAAAGCAGTTAAGCAACGCTTTTGTAACGGCGGTATTGGCATCAAGTCTCTTTCATTGCTTAACAAGGCTCTTCTAGGCAAATGGTTATGGTGGTTCATGTAAGAGTTTTCCTGTATGTGGGCTATATTAATTGAGATTGTAATTAACCCTTTATAGGCTTGGTCTAATAAGGTTGGACATAAGGATTCTTAATCAGTCTGATATGGGCCTGGCTTGTGTGGGCCGAGTTGAGCCCGGCCCGTTATGAGAGGGACTGACTGGAAACTCTATAAATAGAGTTGGAGGTCCCCCCCTTAACCTAACTCTCTCTCAAACACTCTCAAACCTTGCATATAGTACTTGTGAGGGCTGAGGCAGTCTCATAGCGGCAGGGACTCCGGAGGTTATAGGGGAGAAGAGCTCCGGCACCTGTTCTTCGTCATTTCCGCATACAGAGGCGATGGATTCCAAAACAAGTGCATAAATCTCGTTTATCCTTTTACCGTACCCTCTATTTCTTGCTATGGCGATCCTCGAGCGTTCGGCCGCGCCTCACGGCCTGCTAACATGTGGTATTAGAGCCGCCATAGTCAAGATTAGACCGTATTGTTTAGTATGTGATTTTCGATTTTTCATATGATGAAAGTTAGAATAAATTACATAAATGGATAGATCGTCTCAAACTGAGAATTTTGAGTGATCGCCGGCCTCCGGAGGCCGCCGGACGTGGCCGCACATGCCGCCACGCGCTGGAGCATCAAAGAGCCTCGGTGGCATACGCGCGGTCACGCACGGGTGTTCCCAGTGTGCGCATTGCATGCGCTACGGTTTCCACGAGCCAGGTCGATCCGGCTGACCCGACCTGACTCCAGAACTGACCTAGGGTTTGACCCGTTGACCTGTTGACCGGGTGACCCGACCCGAATCTAGGATCCAACCTGGTATTTGACCCGACCCTAGGATCCAACCCGAAGTAGACCCGACCCGAAACCCGACCAAGTTGACCGTTGACCGAACCGGTCGAACCGGTCTGCGGTCGGACCGGTCCCTTTAGGACAGATCACGCGCTACGCCTTCAGGAGGCGCGTGAGGGCGCGTCCGGGCTCCGTTTGGAGCGTGTAAGGTATCGGCGTGCTCGTATTAAGATTCTCTACATTGTGATATATTTATTTTACATGTTTGATGCTTTTAAGGATATGGAAATGCATACAGAACCCTATATACGTGTTTTTTTAGGGTATATTTGCATATTTTCATGTATTTCTCTATGATTTCGGAGATACAGATTAAAGCTTACATGTATATGACCACATAAAGAATGTGTAGAGCATGATTCATTGATAGTATATATAAGGTTCAACATATATCAATGATTAGAGCGATTTAATTAGCATGGTGTGTAATTTTAGTGACATTGCCCATGTTTTAAAGTCTAGAATTACATGTATATGATGAATGTGATACATAAAACTTATATCCTTAGTACGAGAGAGTTTCAAGAATTCAATTGGGTAATGACCGCCAAAATGACACACTTAATTGGGTTTGTGAAATATCAGTCTTGTATTTTTAGGGATGTCTCCTGTTCTAATGTGTTGTCATACTCCCAAAAGAGGTGATTATGTATTGGTTAATGGAGAGATACATGTACAGTATATGCTTGAGGAATGACTGATCTTAGTGGTTCATACATCAAAAGGTGGTAAATTCATAAAAGATTGGAACATATTCTCATGGCCGTTGTCATGTAGAGGCTATATAACTACATGTCATGTATTCTGCCCAAAGGTGATTATATGATGATGTATGTAACCCTCAAGATAGTACTCACATAATGCTAATTATAAACATTGCTTGTTTTCCCAGTCACCTATTCTCTAAACGGCAACTCCATTAGTATTAAGGTTCTTACTGGTTCAAACTTTAAGAAATGGAAAGATGATTTTCTGTTTGGTATGGAGCTAGCAGATATTCATATTGCTCTTACTGAGGATAAGCCAGCAGACGTCACTGCTGATAGTACGGATATAGAAAAGGTACACTGTACTGCTTGGGAAAAGAGCAATAGGATTTGCTTGTTATTCATGAAGCGATCCATTCATGACCACTTGAAGAGTGGTTTACCAGCTGACTGCACTGCTAAAGAAATGATGGAAACCTTGCAAGCAAGGAATCGTATCTCATTTAATATTGAGAGTGGGACATATATGTAAGTACTCAGCTATATGAGGTATGATGGTTCCAGTGGGGTTAGGGATTACATCCTTAGGACGATAGACCTGCAAACAAAACTGAAGGCTCATAATATTGTCCTTTCTGATGCCTACATTGTGCATCAAGCCCTGAACACCCTTCGTACTGAGTTTGGAATTATAAAGACCAATTATAATTCCCAAGATGAAACTTGGTCAGTTAATGACCTGATAGTTAGGGTGGTGGCAGAGGAAGAGAAACTGAAGAAAGATAAAGGAAAATTTTCTTTTTATGCCTCTAGTTCCAGCAGCAAGAGAAGTAAGAAAGTCAAAAATTATACTCATAAAGGAACTCCTGAAACCACCAGTCATTCTGGCCATCTGGGTCCTAAGGTAGCATCCTTGAAAAAGGATGATGTTCATTGCTTCTTTTGTAGGAAGAAGGGTCACATGAAGAAAGACTACAATAGATATAAAACTTGGTTGTCCAAGCGTGAGCAGTCAAATATTGATTCTTTGGCATTTGTTTGTGAATCCGACCTATCAAAAGCCCCATCCAGTTCTTGGAGGCTAGATAGCGGTGCAACTAATCATGTTGCGTTTACCAAACAGGGATTCACAACACAGAAGGAAGCCAAATCAGGATGAATCAAAGCTCACCGTAGGAAACAACAAGAAAGTCGACGTCGAG